CTTTATTTTTTGAAGCAGTAAACAAAAATCCTACAAAGTTCGACGAACGCCTTATAAATATCATTTATTTTGTTTCGAAATTATATTTTATAATAAATATATATATAATATAATAATATTTTAATAATATAATAATAATATTAATATTAAATAATATATATTATATATTAAGTGTAGCAATTAATACGTTATTTTAGCAACAAAATTTAAAATAAAATTACTAAAATAATTATAAATATATAATTATGTTAAACAAAACTTCCAATCAATCTACCAAATTTTTTAACAACAAAATAAATAAAATAAAAATATTAATATTACAGTAAAATAAATTTAATAATATAACCATTCTTAAAAAATTAATTGCTACACCCAATAAATATATAAATATATATATATATATATATATATATATATATATAATAATTATTGAGTATAGTATTTGTTTAACACAAAAATAATGAATTAATCATAAAAATTCTTTCACTATTCTCTTTTTTTTTTCATTTAGTTTTTTTTTTTCTTTTATTCTTGTTTAGTTCGTATTATTCTTAGTACACAAACACACACACACACACACACATGTAGATACAGATATACATAGATATACACAGACACGTGACACATATACAAATCGGTGGCTGCTGACTCCTGTTCGGTTTTTCATTCTTGGCTAGCCTAAGTTGGCCTTTAAAGTTGTCAGATCGCATGCGTGGTAGGTTTCTTTAGTCGTCGGCAAATTCAAGCGGTGAAAATTCGACACGAGTAAAGGCACCAAATCATCATACCCCTTCATTTTAATAAAGTTCCGAACCGCGACCGCTGCTGTTTGACTTGATTGTGCCGCGCCATAGTAATAGTATTTTACAAGAATTAATATACATATATATATATATACACACATATATACATTCATATTTATATATATATATATATATTTATATTTGTTGTTGTTTTTAGAGAAGGAAAAAAAAAAGAAAGGATAAAAAGTATAGGGGGTTGGGGATTGAAATGATTAGTGGTTCATATTTTCATAATTGTGAATGTAATATTATTCGTGGGAAAGAGGTAGGGATAGTTAGAATGATCAAAAAAAAAAATTAATTTGTTAGAAGAAAATAAATTATAATGAAATATATCATTGCAATTGGTGATTTATATTTATATGATTATTAGTTTTTTGTTTTTTTTTTTTTTTAATTTTAATTTATTTTAATTTAATTTATTTTAATTTGATTTTATTTCAATTTATTTGATTTTATTGTAATATACAAATTATTTTTACATACTTATATGATTATTATTATTATTATTATTATTATTATTATTTATATGATTTTCTTTTTGTTTCTTTTTTGTTTTTTTTTTAGTTTTTGTTTCAAATTCACGCAAATTGTGTGACACACGAGTGATAATTTGTGCATTTTATAATAATTTTTACGTCATCCATATCGAAATAATGTTTGGATTTTCGAACACGTTTGTTTTTCATTTTAATTAAAAAATTTTCTTTGATAATTTTTTATTGTAAAATATCTCAAGCAAATGATTGTTATTATCATTATGATAAATTTACAATTGGTGTATCACATAAATTTTCAACATTGAAATTTGATCCATCTGCAAACGCGCCACGTGGTGTTTCATTTCATTCTAAGAGAAAATAAAATGAACAAAGTTTTTAACTTTAATAATTATTAATTAGTTTAAAATTAATACAATTATTAATGTTTATAAGATGATGGTGAATTAATAAAATTATTTATCAACTTTGTTGAAGATAACACAATCGCGTTTCTTAAGAACAAAAAGAAATCAAAAATTTCGAAAAAAAAAAAGAAAAAAACAAATATTTACAAGATGAAATCATCGACTAAATAATATCACAAACCAACTTGACATTTTATGAATCGTAAATTTAAATGCGTGATATGTATGTATTATTAACGTGTATTAGTTCATCGATGATTCATTATAATTTAAAACAAAACAAAACAAAAAATTAAATTAAATTAAATTAAACTCAAATCAAATCAAATCAAATATTACTTTAAAAATAAATCTAAACTAATAATCATATTTATATATATATATATATAAATTATAGAAAGAAGTATATAGTTAATGACATATAAACATAAATTGTGAAATAATTCAATAATATTATTAACAATTAACAAATTCTTGTTAATGTGTTAGTTTTCGCGAAAGTTTCTTTGCCACTGGCGACTGTATGTCATTTTGTGAAACTTCTTTAGCCGGTCTAATCTATTTTTATATCATACCGCTTCGTCATAGCCCACACACACACACACACACACACACACACGCACATACATACGGCATAAGACATTACGGCACATTTCTGACATCTTCTTTCAAAAAATAGACCTTCTTCACTACCACAACTACGGGATTATATCATAATCTTTCTAAAGTTTCAAAAAAAAAAAAAAAAACCACCATACCACCATTATCCTTCCTTAAAAAAGAACAAAAAAAAGAATTAAAATATAAAATGAAATCAAAATTGCATATATTGATAACATTTGATACGTTGATCAAAAATTATTCAAAGAATAAAACAACACAGTACTTCATTCTAATTATAAATAGAAGATATATATATATATATAT